CACACGCTCCCCCCCAAACGCTCCCCCAAACCCTAAACCCTAAACCCTAAACCCTAAACCCTGGCGCTGGCTGCAGCGGAGGGGGAGGAGGTGCTGTACGTGCCGATGATAAGCCAGACGATCCGGCGGAGCCGCATTGTGGAAGTGCCGGAAGTGCACATTGTGGAGAAGTTCATTCCGAAAGTTTCTGTCCAAAACCGCCTCCGCAAAGTCCCCAAACTCGAAGTCCACTGGGTCGAGAAAGTCGTCGAAGTGCCCCACGTGAAGGTCCGCCCGCGCCTGCGGTGTACGTACACCCCGGCCTGAGCCGTGCTGCTCCCGGGTTGAGGTGTACGTACACCCCGAGTTGCGCTCCACGTGCGCCCCAACTCGGCTGTACGTACACCCCAACTTGAGGTGGATGTACACCGCCAGTTCAGGTGTACGTGCGCCGCGAGTTGGGGTGTATGTACACTTCGACTTGGCGTGTATGTACAGCTCGACTTGGGGTGTATGTACAGCTCGACTTGGGGTGTCTGTACAGCTTGAGTTCGGGTGTATGTACAGTTCAACCTGGGGTGTACGTACACTTCGAGTAGGGGTGTACGGAGCTGAGGGTGTGTCTGTGGGGTGTACGTACACCTGCTTGGAGCTGAGAGTGTGTCTGTGGGGTGTACGTACACCATAGGGGAGCTGAGAGTGTGTCTGTGGGGTGTACGTACACCGCAGAGGAGCTGAGAGTGTGTGTGGGGTGTACGTACACCGCAGGTGGTGGACAAAATAGTGGAAGTGCCTCAAGTGCGGGAAGTGCAGCGTTTTGTTCCTCGCGTCGAAATTCAAGAAGTTGTAAAACATGTTCCGAAATACCACATTCAAAAAATCGAAAAATTCGTTGAAGTCCCGCAAATCCAAGTTGTCGAAAAGTTCGTCGAAGTCCCGCAAATCCACGAAGTCGTCAAGTACCAGGTGACCCGCCAGTTCCTCCACTCTAGGGTTTAGGGTTTAGGGTTTAGGGTTTAGGGTTTAGAGTCCCCCCCTCCCGCAGGCTGCCTCCAGCGCGCCCCCGCCTG